ATAATCGGCTCTGACTTTTGTCTCTTCTGAGCAATTATCGCATCCATGTCGTCACTTTTATACTCTGAAGATCTGCACCACTTCAGTTCGCTTCACCAATAGTAATCGCTACCGCAGCGACGCCACATACACCTCTGAATTGAGTGAAGAAAATTTATATAAATAACCATATAAATCATGGGTGAACTCTGCAATTTTTCCTGAAGTTCATAAAATGACGGGTACTGGACTTTTTTTTCCCTCAAAGTAAGGAAACCAGCCGTATGAATTAACAGTCAACTCTCCGAATTTCGCGAAGATTTCATAGAGTGTAACGCTATTTTTATTTCCTTCAAAAAATTTTGTGTCTTCAACGCGTTTAAAATTTGCAAAGAAAAAATTACTTTTCAAATGGGAGAAGTTATTTTTTATTAAAAAAATATAGTATTTTTTCAAATAAAAAAGAATTCTTGAGGGTTTTTACCATCTTTACCAGGCTCAATCTAACTGCAGTCGCTGTCGAATCTTATTTGAAAATACAGATGACTTCCAAAAAATTTGCTCATTACCATTAATAGACTGGAAAATCCGAAGGTTTTCTAAAATGAATCGAAAATATAAAAAATTAAGTACTATAAATAATTCAATAAACAACATAAATCCTCCTAAATTAATTTGAAAATATATTCTTATGAACAGTGAACCCAAAATGAAGATTTCAATTCTTCTAATGATCGGATTTTCAAGTAATAAGTGCTAATTAATTAGTATTATTTATAAGTTTAATTATTAAATTTGACATTAAACCATACTGGATGAACATACCTTTTGTTAGGCAGACATAGATTTATTTTGAGTCTCAATCTGGAAAATAAGGTCATAATAGGAAAGACAGTCGAAATTTCGGACTTATAATAGTACATGGAGAAAAAAGTTTCTGGTAAATTTTCTGTATTTTACGGTAATGACGTTTCTGATAAAACAAAAACCATAATTTCAGGTATAAAATCCAAAATATTCGGTATTTATATCATTTGGTAATATTTCCGCTTATATGGTAAAGGATTACCGGTTTTAGAAATTATAGTTCTTATAACCACACATTTAGTAAAAAATACAAAACTGAAATGTAAAATTCAACCGAATAAAGGTTTTTATGCCCTGCTCTAAGGTATCATGATAAAATTACTAAATTTCACCACAAATGTTTTCACATAATTTTAAGCCATATTTTATTGTTAATTTTACCAATATCATTACCGAAGCGCTACGGTAAAAATCACCAGACTTTTTAGTGTTTCCATAGAGCCAGAAACACAGTACTGGTAGTTTTAACCATACTTTTTCTTCTCAGTGTTGTTATGGTAGATGTGTATCAAATTAGATCTGCATAATAAGTTATTACCTTCATGGTTTCAGGAACTGGACTTAAATATTATAAATAAATGCTAAGTTACGAAATTAAATTCAAAAACATATTTCCTCTAAATAAACATATATTTTCTTTCCTTAAGAATTCATACCTAATTAAACTCTCTAAAATGAGAGATATACAGTAAAAATGTTGACTTAAAATACATAATTAGAGTGCTTTTACATCTGTATTGCCTTAAAATATATAATTAGAGTGCTTTTACATTTATATTACTTTAAATACATATTTAGAGTGCTTTTGCATCGACATTGCTTTAAAATACATAATTAGAGTGCTTTTACATCTATATTACTTTAAAGTACATACTTAGAGTGCTTTTACTTATAATTTGTATACTGAACTGGGAGTTTTGCAAGATGGAAGAAAAATAAAGAAATGAAATGCAAATTTCGAGGTTTTAAATAACACTGAATAATTATTTCATTAGTTAATTGTCCAGAAGGAAAAAAAGAAGGCAGATATGTTATTCTAAAAAGGCGCCTGCTCTTGAAGTGTCCGACAGAATTTAAAAATAGCAGAAGAATTTTTACTTTTTAAAGAAGGTAGATAACTAGAATAGTGAACGCATATGCATGTTTGCTTTATAAACATAATGATCAAGAATGTAAGAAGGAAATACGTTAATATGAAGATGAAGTTCTTTTTTACTTTTTTTGTATTAATACCAAAAATAATCCGAAAGACCTTACATTTTACACTTTTTGCTATAATTGTTCTCTTAAATAGCAAAAAAAAAAGAAACGCCACTAAAAAGTTTTTAAGTAAGAACGGTAGACTAGTTACTTTTGTATCATTAATAAACAATACAAATTTTCGTATCCTTAGCATTTTGGCAGTGATTTGGAAATAATAGTGGTCTTTAGATTTTTCCTTATAGTGGATTTCTCGTTAACATGCAGTACTCGCGAGCTTTTGAAACATTTACAGAACATTTGATTCTTTTGATGCATCATTATATTGTGTAAATATTATACGTTAAAAATATATGATAGGCATTTATCCTGTTTCTTTTTATAAACAGCGACAGTTGCTCGAGAAGATGGTGTTGCTGTGTTTAAAGTACCAAGATGGAGAGTAAAAGGACAACCGATTCCTGAAGTATTAGATCAGTATAGGTCTGTTGGTGCTGAATTGAATGTCTTGCCTTTTTGTACACAGTTTATACCAATGGATGTTATCAATTATCCAATACAAAAGTCTATTTGTTATCACCCATCTATTTTGCCAAGGCATCGTGGTGTTTCATCAATAAATTGGTAATACTTTTATTTTTATCTGAAATATGACTTTCAAAACTTTTTTCTTTATGGTTCACAGCAATCCTTTAATTTTATTGAAATGGAGAAGAATTGGTTTAATTAAAATACATTAATAGTTATATTGCCTACTGACTTTCTTATTAAACAGCAATACCCTTGATCGCAGTTAAAAAATAATAACTCAAATGAATAGAAAAAATAAGTACTGAAGATTGGGAAGTAGGAGCTAGAAGACTCTTTTCATGCATATATTATTCGTTGTCTGTACGAATCGCAGTGCTTCGGTCCGTCGGGCCTACTTGGTGAGGTAAAGTGGTTTACAGAGGTGCGTGGATACTCGTAACAAACTCATCGACCCCTGAGTGCAATATTATAATCTCAGGACAGGGTCTTACTAGGATGAAATTGGGCCCAAAGCCTAGATTTTGGTTTAGAAATGTGCTATTTTTAATTTTCAAAAATAAAAAGTCTCAATTGAAAAATGTTCGAAAAACATGAATAAATTTTTCTTTTAAATATTACTTTTCTATTGCACTAAAGAAAAACTAAATTATGAATCTTGTATTGAATACTGATAAAATATTTTTGAATGAAATTTTTTTAATATTAAATTATATTATTCATATAGACATAGCATAAGCATAGAAATCTACAAAACGACTAATATAAACGTAAACGTATACACCGTATATATGTATATATATATATATATGTATAATATGATGGTAACAACCCCGTTATTTTGTTAGTGTTTTTAATTTACTTTTGTAGAAATAATAAGCCGATAGACTTTAACAGGCTTTATTTACTGGAGTATGGTGTAAACAGACGTCTCACCCACTCTCCCAGCTGGAGGAGAGTGGACTAATATAAAGACAGTAGTGGCGAAGGTTATGTTGGCGATATCGTACAGCAAAAGACACGCAAAAACACTTGCTCTTGCATTTTATAATAACAGATTTGGAGGTGAAAAGGCTCAGTCAGTGCATTGTTTGTAACTCTACGCATCATCGATAATCATTTAATGCTTCCTAATATGGAAGTGAAAGAAGGACAAGATTCTAAAANTATATATATAATGATAGTATTTATTAGGGTTGACCATGCAAAGCTACGCACAGATGGCGTAAGACTTCCGGGTAACAATTTTCGATTTATTTTTCGCCTAAATTTGAAAAAGCACGTTAGCCAATGTTAATATCCTTGTAGTATTTACAAAATAATGTTGAATTTACAATATAACGCGTTTTTACATTTTAACTTTAGCTTCACTCGTTTTATTTTAGCTGAAAAAGAATTTAAACAACTCCACAAGAATGCTGGGATGTTACTCAAAAAACAACAAATGGCGATAATTTACACAAATGTAGCCAAATAAGGAATACCACACAAAACATGACAAACCTTACTCTCTATTCGTGTAAGGATATTAATTTTCTTAATTTTACGTGAAGTTCACGACTTTCACGAAACTCACGACTTAAGGCATTTAGAATTTATAAATTGCACAGAAATCTCCTATGAATGGAAAAATAACGCATAAATTTAAATACAAATCACAATACTAAAATTTCCTAGAATATCTAGCCTCTTCACACATCGCTTCATAAACGTAACATAATCAGAGGGATGCACAGGAAGTTTTCTAAATTTCTTCCGTTTTTAGGAAGCTAGTTATTATCTGCATTCAGTCACCCATCTATGGTCGGAAACTTTAGCGAACTCACGCTAATCGATACAGCGCTCCGGTGGCGTAGTCGGTTTAGGCGTCGATCACAATTCTGGATGGAGAATTAGTGGTTGTGAGTTCGATTCTGGCAGCCAACACAACAACTTTGGTGTATACGCAGCAAGGTGCGCGTTACATCTGGTATTGTGGTGTTGAAATTTGGCGAGAAAGGTACCAACTTAGGCGCTGTTCATGTCTGACCGGGGTCAAAATTACGTGGCATTTCCTACCCTGGCTCTTAGAGATAGGGCCCTAAGAATGTGGCCAAGTGCTTGGCCATAATTGAGTGATGCGGCTTCGAGTATTTCAAATTCAAATACTGTTTATTGATAATAAAAAAAAGTAAAAATATATTACTTGCTGTTTATGACTGAATATGTTTTAGGACTTTAATAAATGGAGATACACGAGCTGGTTTCACGATATTTTGGGCTGATGATGGCTTAGATACTGGACCAATACTACTTCAAAAAGAATGTGATGTTGATCCAAATGACACAGTTGACAGTCTTTACAATAGATTTATGTATCCTGAAGGAATAAAAGCAATGGTAAGTCAGATAATATAACTGACGGCTGTTATTCTTTTCTTTTCAGAAGAGTTCTCTACTCTTCAGAGAATTGAAAAAAAGCCCCAATGCTTTGTGTCAGAATCATTAAACATCCTTTATCGTTTTTTAAAATTTGCCCCAAATTTTTTTTGTTACAATTTTTTTTATGCTTTTTTTCATAATATTTTAAAAACAAGTTATAAAAACTGAAACATATAGAATATTTCTAAAAAATTTAAAAGTTTTTCTTTTTAATATTAATTTGTTAGAAATTTATTATTTTCTACAAACCTAAGACTTTACCGTGGATATTAAAATTAACTAGATGAAGGAAAAAAAACAACCTGCAATCAGTTTTACCATAATGAACTTTTGGGCTTTCATGTGTCATCTTAATTACTAACAAAAATTAGATATCATTTTTAAAATTAAAACGAAAAATTGTTATAATAATTATTATAATAATTTTTTAGAAATTTTGTGAAAGCTTCAAGCTGAGGCCGAGGATATCAAAATTAACGATAAAAAAAAAAAATACATCTTACAATCAGTTTTACCTATATGAATTTCATGACTACCATATGACATAATTACTTAAAATTATTTAATAATACTTTTATTTTTTTTAAATATTAACCATTTAAAAATACATTATTTTGTCAAATATGCAAACTAAACCCGTGAATATCAAAATTAGTGATATAAAACTAAACAAACTTTAAATCAGTTTTACCAATATGAACTTTTGGACTTTAATAGAACATTATTATACATATTTAAAAAATAATAAATAATATTTCTAAATTAATCTGTAATTCTTTCTTAAAAATACATTATTTTGTGAAACCCACAAACTACGACCATGAATATCATAATTAACGACCTTCAAAAAGGAGAATATTATTCATTTTCTTTAAGCATATATGTTGTCATATAGAAAACCGAAAGTTGATATTGATTATGGTTTCAGGATGGACTGATTTCAGTTTTTTTTATGTCTCATGTTTTTATGTGAAATTGAAAAAAAGAAAGAATGTTGTATAAGAATATATAAATTTTAAATATAATGAAACACTAAACATTTTTCTATATTATTTAATTGTTTTTTCATACAGTTTACTTTTTAATTATTCTTAGTAGATATAATCCAACTGTATATTAATGAATATAGGGCGAAGCAGTTAGATTAGTAGCTGAGGGCAAAGCTCCTAAAATTGTTCAAACAGAAGAAGGGGCTTCATATGATCCAGCTTTAACTAAACTTGAACATTGCATGGTTTGTATTTTCTTTATTATTCTTAGAAAAATGATAAATTTAGCTTAATTCAGAAATTCAATTCAATTTCCTCCAATGGTTTAGCAAACTATTTTTTTTATAAATATGTTTTGGAAAATATGTTTAAATTTTTTATTTGATTTGTTATTTGAATGTTTCTAATTATGTGATTTTTTTCTCATGCTCTAATTGCAGATGAAAATGTATATTGGTACTTCTAATTATAAAAATCAGTCTAATAGTTAAATCTGTCAGAAAATCTGTCAGATCTGTCAGATTATCTAAAAAAATCTGTCAGATTATCGGAATTATATTTGCACGAAAATATAAAATCCAAAAAATGCTGTTCAAAAAAAAATTTTTTTTTCATTCATATTCAAAAATTTATCAATAATTGATTTTTCAAATTAAAGAAATTTCAATGATGAATAATTATTTCTTTTAGATCTAAATAACTGCAAATAAGTGCAAATATAAGAAAAAAAATATTGTTTGGAAGTGAGCTGTGTTTGGAAGATTACATCTTTAACGTAGAAAAATGCACCCATGTTTTTATCTAACTATAAATTATTAAAATTCTAAATATAATATTTTTCACTTATTTTGATCTACATTAATACAGAATAATGAAAAATATGTTTAATAAAAATTCTGTGCCAAACGGTGAAAGTATAGCATAAAAACATTTATTCGGTAAAATTTACTCCTCAGTTTTGTGTTTTTTTACTAAATATGTGATTATAAGAACTTTAATTTTGCAAACCAGAATTTCCCGTAAATAGTATGCTGTTTGTTGAACTTAAAAAAGACAAAAACAATTACCGACAAATAAAGTTTTATTAAAATATAAATCATAATGCTGGCATCTTATGCACATAGTGACAATGTGAATATGAATGCACACACGCAGTGCTTCGCAAGCACGTGAAAAATGGAGCTGACCATACCGCCCTCTCAGGAATTTGCACAGTTGTTAAATAGGTGATATCCCTAACGGGAAATCGTACTCTATATGAGTGCAACCTATTCGAGTGGGAAGAAAATTTATGTTGTTCGCATTGCTACAACACAGTGAATGAATGGTTTAAACAAAGAGTATGCATAGGAGAGGAAGGTTAGCTTCGATAGACGTAATGTAAACCGGTCCCCCAAGGCTTGGTGTGGTCTCTGTGTGCAATGGGAAAAACAACCTTTAGGGGCACATCTCAAACCAACCACTACAGGGGTTGGAGAGGAGATGAAAAGCTTTCTCATTTTATTTATTGTTCGTTTGTTCTGCATTAGTGTATTATTTATGAACAGTACAGTACTAATAGTTAAGATATTTCTTTGAGGACACACATTTATATCTTCCATGTTGATTAAATCTGCTAACACATTTTGGCAAAGAGCATCTCTTGCCAAAATGTGTTAGTAGATGCGACATGCGATGGGCATGCGACGCATCTCTTGACTGTCACTTTGTTTCTTATGCGCATCCAATGGATATTAGTACATATGATCAGGGCTAAAGAGAATAGAAAGGCTGGTTCACTCCTTTGAAGAAGCTCTCGCCGCGCCAATCCTCCGATTTTCTCTAGTGACGCCACTTTGGAGCAAAGCTCGCACTTTTATTTCAAGAACAGAGCGTTCGGCCTTACTAACTCTAACTAATATTGGAGCATTTCTTTTTGTGACACATTCTAAGACATTTGTTATTTTCTATAATGACTTTCCTCAGAGTTTGCAGTGAATTTACAAAAATTAAAAACTATTAAAGAAATGCCAGTTTGCGCGATTGCAACTTGCAAAAATTCTGATAGAAAAACAAAAGGAAAAAATACAATTTTCCGCGTATTCCCTAAAGTAAATGAACAACTATGTAAAGAATGGATTCCGAAATTACACTGTTAATATAAAACAGCAATACGTTTCTTCTATCGTTAAGAACTTTTATAAAAATTCATTATCTAAATAGAAACAGCCTCGTTACTTCAAAAAGAAAGGCAGGTGAAAAAAATTTAAAAAATGGATGAAGTCAAAGAAAATTAAAACGTAAATAAAAAGTATAAATGAAATATATAGTGCATAGTTGAAATTCTCCTAATTTCATAACACATTTTTTAACGTAGTTATTCTAAATATTTACGATTTTTTTTTTAAAATTATATTCTCCTAAATTTAAATATCTTTAAATTATATCATCTTAAATTTAAATATCTGTAAGAAATTGTAAAATTTCTAACGTCATTATGAACCTAAATTATTATTTTGTTTCAGTAATTAAGCGTTTAAGGTTGATGTTTCCTAATGATTAAGTATGAACAAATTGCTATTAACGGCATATTTTAAAATCAGGGATTCTAAATTTAACTCAACTTATTGTTATAAAAGAATATGTAGATAAAAAAAAATGTCGATATATGCTTTAATTTTTCTTAATAATTAAAGTAAAACTGAACTTTTAAAAATAATTATTTATAGTGTCATTTTCGCCAACTAGTAAAATATTTTTGTAAGTTTAAAATGGTATTTTTTAAATATAATGGCCAAGAAAGTTTTTTTGAACTACGTTTATGAACGAAAATAATGTGTTAATTACGTAAAGTTTGAAAGCTAATAACCAGAAAAAGTCTAACTTATTTTTACAAAGAGAAAGATGCAAAGTTATTATAATATCTTTGCTCGCGATCTCCGAGATCTGTGGACGTCATGAGGAAGAAAATCGTAGCTTCAGCTCTAAGAGCGGAGTGAACTAGCCCTTCTTTAGCCCTGACATATGATGCTCTGCTATATCTGAGTATGTTAATAGTTCTTTAAGTTGTTTTTCAGGTATCGCACCGATCAGCTCCCCACGTCAGTTACGTATCCGAAGAGCTCTCCTTTCTATATTCGACCGGCCAGACGGTAGAGCGGTTAGCGTGCCTGAAAGCCAATGGCTACAGATTCGAATCTCTCTCAGGACATGGATGTTTCTCTCTGTGTGTTGTTCTCTATTGTGTGATGTGTGAATGTGGCCCACCCTGTAGACGGATATCTGTGGCAGTGTGGCGTGGGTAATGTTGCTCGCCTCCGTGACTTAGGTTCACAGGTGCCCACTGGGTAACGTTAAATGAGTAATACTTCCGGTATCTTCCTAGGCAAAGGAAGTAAAAGCTCAGTGCCTGCCTTTAGAAGAAAAAAAAATATTCTTTGGTTTAAATACCACATACTTTGGCTTTCATCATCAAAATTATGTTTTTTTCTCTTATCATAAATGGCTTTACCATACAGTACTTTAATTTTACCCGATTTTTTTTCTCCGTGAAGGAAAAGTAAACGGCGGAAGTTTCTTGAAGTTAAATAAAAATGAATTGATATTAATAAGTGGGAATGTTTCAGATCCCGTTTGAAAAGCTCACAGGTGCACAATTGCATAATTTTATCAGAGGAATGGATAAAGTACCTGGCGCTGCTGCTGTTTTAGACAACCAGGTTTGTTTTTTAGTTATAAGCTTTGTCCGTTATTTTCTCTATTGTTTAATATTAAAATATTATAATTCATTTTATCACAGCAAGTCCGGTTGTATAGTTCCAAACTATGGACTCAAAGTATTCCAGAAGGACGAACATATCAAGTGAAAGGTTTACAGTCTCCTGCTGTTATACATTCAGAAGGATTAATTTTAATAGGAAATGACGGAAAAGCTGTAAGTATACATACTAATAATTATGATCTCTGAAACATCGTTAAAATATTTCCACACGTGACTCATACTGCAAATATTACTAGGTTGTGTAGCTCAATAACGGACCAATGTTGCCTCGCGCTCATTTAAAAATAAAAAGTGGTAGCAATAGTATATTTATAGTTCCAAAATGCCAAATTTATAATTCAAATAAAAAAATTACCGTGACTTTCTATATATACTTATATTTCGATCTGAAGTCAAAGCACGTTTCTTTCATAATTTATTTACAAATGGTATCTTTTATAGCCGTGATTTTTTAATTACCTAAGTTAAGGCAAAAATTGCGAAAATTTTATAATTTTTAGTAATTAACTATCTATCACTATTTACGTTTTCCCGCGTTTGACATGGTGTTGTATATGTTACTACTGTGAATAAATTGTGATAAAATCTCTTGAAAACAAATTAGAAATAAAATAATTTTATCTCCATTTTTTTCTAATTTGCCAGGTAAGTAACAACCTACTCATAACCCAAAACAGCAGCCTAAATACTGTTAAGCATTCTAGAAACAACCTGTTATGGGCGATGGAGATATAGAGGTTAAGTCTACCGCAAAATCCATTTTTACCATTAAGTATTACACCGTAATTTTTACAGTATTATTTAATTAGAGTGATTCAGTGATTTTACGATTATTTTTACTGTTAAAACTACGGTGCATCAGATTTTTTCTGTAACATGTTCCGGCAAAAATAGAGTTTACAGTCAAACGCCACTCTTACAGCACAATGCCGGTACTTTTTATCGTGATTTGATGTGAAATTTTTTACAGTGTAGTTAATTTTATTACACTCTTTCTTCTTTTAATGTTTCGAAATTATTTTAAATTATTCAATTTCAATTTAGATCGTGATATTAATTTTAATTTTTTAAAGTATGGAAGGCATTTATAAAATGCTTTTGCGGTGATATATTGTTTATTTTCGACCGTGGGTTAAATGTTCCAAAGCTCTTTCTGCCAGAAAAATTAGAGCTTAAGTGTCTTAGATTCGCTTTAATGCTACAATTTTAAACTATATATACTATTTTGATGAAACTGGACTTTAAAGCAGACAAAATATTTCTAAAAATTTTAAACTTTGAAAAATATTACCAATTTGGCGAAATTTCCCCTCCTAAATGAAATTTATTGAAATCAATGAATAATTTCCTAACTTGGCATATTTTCGTTGATTCTAAACTAAGCAGGGTTTGAATAACTTTTGAAGTATTAAAAAATTGAATCAAAATTGTTTTTCATTTTTTTAAAACTATAGTTTATCTTCATAATAATATTTTTCACAATTTTTGTAATTAGCATAGAGGGGAATGATCAAAAAAAAATTAACAGTGATGAATAACTATTACGAACTCACAACAGTTATAAAGTATGTTGCATATTGTGCGTTATTCATACGACGACAAATTCTTCGAAGAATAGACTTAAGTGTTTGTTATGTAGAATGGGTCACGTGTGGAATCTACGAAAAAGTAAACAAATGAACGAGATAAATAAGACAAAAACATACTACTACACACTCTTTAATGAATTTATGTTTTTGATTTTAAAGGTAAACGTTGAAAAAATCAAATTGGATGAAAGTGGAAAAATTATAAACGCATCAAAGTATGGAATAGTTGATGAAGAAGCCGCCGCTCTTGAATTATCAGAAGAAGAAACTGCCGCTGTTATTAAAATAAAGGTTTTTATCTAACATAATTATTTATTTATTTGCAATGTCAGGTGGGTGAATAATTTTTGAAAAAATTTGTTTTTGTATGAATTTATGTTCTTTATTTTGTTGTTATCTTATTTCCTTATAAGTGTTTACACTACTCACTACACTAGAACACTTTGGATTGGAACCTTTTGGCGAATATTTTAGTTAAGAAAAGGTTTTTGTCAACGATTGTTGATGTACAATAACAAAATATCATCAAATGCGCACTCTGTCAAAAAAAGGATTTTTTTTTTTATGTTTCCTAAAGCTTATAATATTTTATTGGTTTATTCACGCAATTTGAATTTTTTGAAGATTCACTTGATTAATTCTGAGTTGTATAACACACAGCATATGCAAAAATTCAAATTTCAATGACGTGTTTTTTTTGCCACCTAGTCTAATCACAATCTCAAAAAGTATTCATTCTATTTCATTGTTATGAGATTCTCTACAATGTAGCGTAGATTTTTCTTTTTATAGTATTTTCAACAAATATTTTTTATAAGATTCGAATTCTTACTCGAAAATGTAATTTAACTCAACATTAGGACTGGGCGATATTAGAAATTATATATCGTGATGCATGGTTAGTTTTGCATCGCGATATAGCATGTATCGCGATATAGTATTTCTGAATTTCATTTACTTGTAAGGCACAGAAAGTCAGATTTCTATTAAAACTCCATACTCAGATTGATTTAAATCAATTTATAGATTTGAAGATATATATGTTTTGCTTAAGAAAGGTATGGAATAAATTGACTACAATGTACAAATCTTACTTAAAATATTTATTGAAAAAATGTGTGTATATACAGAATGAAACATTTGCACCTCTTTATCGTTTATAAGGTATTAGCAGTCTTAATTTAAATTAGATACTTTACTAAGCTTTTAACTAGAAATCAAAGAAAGTTTAAAACGATAGGTTCATGAATTATTTGGAAATCAATTAGTTTAAACGAATTAAATTTTGAAAAAAAAAGTTTAAAGCCATAAAATTTTATTAAATGAGCCATATAAAAATAACTTTGATAATTACATAATTATTAAGTTCGATTGTAATGTTCGAATTCTAAATGAAAAAGTAAACGCAAGTTTTGTTACATTTTCTAAAAATGTTCACGCAAATAACGAAAGATTTCTTAATTTAAAAATAAATAATAAAAAAATTAATAAAATTGAAATTTACCAATATATTTACCTAACAGTATAGAAAGAAAATTAAAAAATAAGTTCGTTAAAAATTATTAGTCTGCTTAAAATAAAGTGCTAAATAAATTTTAGAATTTTTTTTTTTAAAAAAGCACTATTTTTTATTATTATTACTTCACATAAATAGTTAAATTAAATTGAATAATGACCGAATTATGAACGAAAAGCAAAGTAAGGTTTAATTTCTTAAAAATAAAAACAAAAGAATTGTGATATTCGATAATATATTTAACTAATTAACTAATAATATTAAAAGAAAATTTAAAAAAAATGATTATACTCTCTAATAAAACGAAGTGCTAAATGATTAAAAAAAATAAATAAAATTTGCAAACCTTTCAAATTTTTTTGAATAAACAAAGTTGATTGACTTATGTCTAAATCCAAATGACAAAAAATAAGTTTTGTTTTAACTTTATTTTTAAAAATAAAGACAACTCAAGATTTATAAATTTAAAATCAGTAATAAAAACCCATTAAATTATGAGAAGTTTTATCCAAAAAGTTTTTATAAATTAAAAGAAAGTAAAAAAAATAACCTAACAAATTTAATTACTCTGTAATTTAATTCTTTATGGGCGCCTTAAACTGGATTTCCAATAATTTTCACAATTAAAAATAAAAAAAAAAGTTTTGTTAAAAAAAATTACCTAATTAATGCAGAAACTCTTCTTTATGTATTCTTTTCAATAATAGAATGCGTTCAGAACAAGGTAACAGCGGCGATCACGAAGTTAGTCCCATTGAAAATAATCTACAAGAAACGATATCAAGTCGCGACAAAGAAAACTAAGAGGTGCGAAAACGAACATGCGAGATCACGATATATGTTCTTAAAACTCTGATTCCACCGCTCATCAATCAAGGCTATTTCAACATAAAGAAACGAACATCGTCTTCCACAGCGCAAGTCGGCATCGGAACGTAAGAGAAGATCCCTGCGTGTCTTATATCGATACATCGTTTTGCGCTCGTCGTCTTTACTCGACGGCTTAAATCAGATTTCTGATGCATCGCCTGGAACGAAAATCGCTGTATCGGATTGCCGATCTATGCGTTAAATCGATATGTCGCGATACATCGATTTATAGCCCAGTCCTGCTCAACATTGTTGAGAATTCAATTATCTGCAATATCTATATAATAATTAAAAACGGAGTTTTTGAGATATTGATAGAATAACGATAATAAATTCCTGAAAGTTGCATTTTGGAGACTCGAATTCATTGTATGTTGCACAACTACTGTATTATTCCTTAAAATCGCAGAAAATTCCTTAAATATAACATTTTACTTAAAAAGAACTTTTTTTCACAAAGCATTTAGAAAACAAAGCTTCAAAAGTCCATTTTTTACTAGCAATAATAGAAATTTTTCTTTTGAAATTTAACCAAAATTCGTTCTATCGCATGAAGATAATATGAAAATCGGTTAGGAAGTTTGATAACCTAAAACTATGGTAATAGAATTCTGTAAATATTCTCAAAGTTCAAAACGAAGGAAACATTTTTAACCCATCAATTCATCTGTCAAAAAGTTCTAAGATTAGCTATCAAATTTTTTCCTCCACAATGAGGATTTTGATGACATTCTTTATAAAGCGAATTTTCAATACCTCCAAAAACACTTCAGTTCCCAATGATACTTCTGAATTTTTGTCAAACCTCTTTTTCTGGAGTATCTTTTTGAGACTTGCGAACAGGTATTAGTCGCTAGAGGTTAATCTGTAGGGTCTTGCAATTTCGCCATCCTAACCATCGGACATGCTGTATTGACTTGAAAAAAAAAAGTACTTTCTTCTTTGCCATTTGAGGCCGTTTTGTATTCACACTCTTTAAGTGGTTTAATAATGCTCTAAAATACTTGGTATCGAAGGTTTTGCTTTTTACAAAATATTTGATAAATACGGTGCCTTGAGCGTCCCGAAGAATAAATGACGGAACTTTCCATGTTTTGCTTATGGCGCCTTCTCCCCTGTTCCATCCAGTAAGTCAACAACCTATTCAAATTTTGAGTGTAGAGGTAGATCCATGTTTCATCCATTACCACATATCGAAGCAAAAGTTTTGTTTATTCCTCTTAAATGGCTCCAAATTGTACTCCAAATCAGAAACACGCTGTTATTTTTGTTCAAATTTTTAAAAAATTTTCATGTTCGTGCAAAATATTGTGTACACTGCCTTTGGGTCAATTTATCTTTAGATGAAGACATTTTAGCAACTTCTCTATATGGTTTTATATTGGAATTTTGATGATTTTTGAAGTTTTTTTTAGTGTAATCACTATGTTTGGACATCCCAAAGCGTTCACCATTATCAGTGTCAATTTAATCCCGTTTTAGCTGACCTAACCTCTAAAACATGGATAGTTTAGACAAAACAGATTATTTATAATACTTTTGACGCCATTTCTCAGCTTGAACGGTACTTTTGCTCATAAAAAAGTGCTTCAATTTTATACGAGAATCAGTTTTCAGTTTTACCCATTGCTTGTCCTTTACTTCTTATTTCTATTCGAAGCGTCTAATTGTACTTTCCAACTCACGTATAAATATTTTTTGTGGTAGTTGCGCCATTTGTGGGTAAGTCTCCAAATGTTTTGACCGATGTGTTATAAGACCATTTTCTAGATTTCCACTATAATTCGTTCCAGTACATAAAATTATTATTTTCATTTAGGAAATCTGGAAAGGTATACTTAACGCAGAAGTAGATGAATCAACTGATTTTTTCAAAAGTGGAGCTGGCTCTATGGACGTTGCTAGGTAATTATTTCTTTACTTTGATTCAAAATGTGTTATTCGGTTCTTACTAGCATTTCTTGTAAGCGTGAATTATGTTAATTAAACATCATGAATTATGCTTTTTTAACTACTACATTAAAAATTTACAAGCTTAAATTTTTTTTCAAATATATTTTAAATTTTGAACAATAGTTGTAGTATATTTTAAGCTTTGATTATATACAGACCTAAACAAGCATATTTAATATTACAATCTTTAATCAAATTGTAAATCTGTACTTTTTTGTGATCATTGCAAGCTAATACATTTGTAAAAAAAAATTTAAAACATGAATTAACAACATATTTATTCTGCTGATTTCATACAGTATATGTCACTTTTTCAAATCACATATGGCAAAAATGAGCAATTTTAAAAAATTTACTTTTCTTTTTTAAAAAAATTTGCTACAATCCTAAAAACTAATGAAACAAAAGACCATTTAATAATATCTAAGAATAGCTTAAAAAAATAGTATTTGCATCTGACAAATAAGAAATTGAATATTCAAGAAAAAGTATTTTAATAATTTTGTTAATCATGTAGGTTAGTTGAAGAACTTAAAGAAAAATGTGGAATATCTTTAGAAAATGAAGATGTTTACATTGCGACAACATTTCAGGAATTTACACGAGCTGCCATTTTAAAACAAAGAGGAGGTTCTGGTACTAAATTAGAATTCACTGCGGTAGGATTACTTTTTAGTTTACATCTACTATTGTTATTATATTATAGATTGCTTAAAGCGAGTTTGTTATATTTCATTTTTTTTTCAATTTATGAATTAACAACTTATAAGAAATATAAAGATAAACCCCTCAATAAAATTTTAGTTTCATTCGATGTAATTTTAAATTGATATTGTTAACTATTATTATTACTTTATTGTTAATGTTTTTCGATCAGTATTACGGAGAAAAATTATCATCATCGATTCATCCTTAAATTAAATTGCACGAAATACCAAAAAATTCTGAAATATTAATTATTAAAACTATTTTTGAATGGAGCTATCCTTGAATAAACCATGTTTATAATTCTGTGAGTAAATATTTTGATTCGTGTGAATTCAAATATTTAAAAAAAAGCTATATTTTAGGAAGAATTGAAATTTTTATTTCAATTCTCTGTTACATACAACTAACAAATAATAATTTAAATTATTAATCGTGAAAAAGTGGTATATTATAATAATTTTTTTAATTATTGTTAAAGTGTACTATATGTGCCATTCATAAAAATGGCACTTTACCGCCAAAATTTTGAAGCATTTTCATTACCGTAAATAAATTATCATTCTCTTAGTGTGCCCGACGCAAAATTTAATAATTTTCTAAGCATTTACTTCTGTCGCAGACAAATTCAAAGTGGGATCGTTTAACCATGGACATCTTATGTAATTAAGCATTGGACTAAGTTATGTTCGGCTTATATAGCTAGGCATAGCTATTTCTTATGAACTTCATAATAATCTATTTTACTATTAATGTGTAATGATCATTAACAAATGTACCCTATATTATTTAAAGGTTAAAATGCATGTCAACAATATGGATATTTCTTTCCCTACTCAATTATTCATCAATAACCAATTTGTCAATTCATCTAATGGGCGAACATTGAAGACTGTCAACCCATACGACGAATCAGTAAGTATTGTTTTTAAATATTGCCGTAACATAGTAGATTATTTAAGATGACTCTAAAAACATCATTACGGAAACTGAACTCGAAAGTAAAAATTTCACCTGTGGAATTATCACACATATCTAATCTTCAAGAATAATATACAAATTACAGGAAGCCGTCAGATGTTGGCGATAGTACGCCCTAGTGACGAGAACGTAAAAGAGGTCAAAACTCTCGGGCGCGACCACTCTCTGCTCCAAAGTAAAATGGTCGTTAATGGAGGTTGGTCGTTCTTAGGGGTGAACTCCATTGACTTCAAAATGTTACAGTAAAAAATTTCAAATATAACTTTTTTTTTCTAATTTAACTTTCAACTCTAAAAATAAATCATTGATTACATCATCCTTAGTGCACTCTGATGAGGTTATAGACCTCTTTTAAAGATCGTCCAAAAGAGCTTTGTAAACACAAATATTTTGAATACATTTTAATCTACATATTTGCTTTGTTAATATTTTTTATTTTTAAATTTTTCGTTTTCTTATTTGACCTTTTCCGCATTTGGTGCAGAGGTTTTCCCGGTCGAGGTTTTGATGGTTTCTGTTAAAGGTTTTCTTCAACACAAAGTCTATGGAAAAAACTCAGTGCCTTCCAAAAGAGGTCGCAAATAGAGGAGTTAGGTGGCTACATAGAGGTGGTCTTTCCTGGAGGTTTTACTGTATAGGGAAAAGTGGTAAAAAAAATTGTTTACTAACATTCTGTAATCCGCTCAGTGCCCTCGACGATTAGTTATGACGCTGAGGGAGCACGTGGATGATTTTTCACGTGGTAGAATTATTGACCATCTAGAATGTGGGCGTACTCAGATGAAAATACCCGAGGAACTTAAAATTGCCCAAAGTATCATCTATAGGCTTTGGCAACGTTTTTAAACTGATAGAAATATTAGTTGACATTACAGTACAGGTCACCCTCGAGTTACAACGCTGAATGAAAACTAGTATTTGGAAGCAATTGCCAAAATAAGCAGACAGAGCACAGCATCCGACCTGTCTTGTCAGCTATCTGCAGCCACGGGAATCACAATTTCCAGGCAAACCGTGTACAGATGTTTGGGAAATATTATATATGGTCGCAAGCCTATATGTATGAAGAAAGAGCAATAAATGTTATCGAAATCGAATCCTCTCTAGAAATATTAGTCGCTGTTGTATATTACTCAAAGCAAATTTTATTTCTAAAAATTGCAATTAATAATATAATAATTGCGTTGTTTCTGTCTCAATTGCAAAGATCACAGTTTTTAAAATGTATTGCTGAACTAGTCAGGAATGCAATAAGATTTTAAATAATAAGATGGCAAATAATAAGATTTTAAAAACCTTTAAGTGTTGTTGAGTCGGAGTCAGTTCGCCAGCGGCTGATGAAATGAGTGATAACTACGTCAATTGTTCAAAAGTTAGTATCGATTAGATTATTTTTTTTTTCGTTGATCCAACATAGAATATTTTTTTCCTCTTTTTGGTATGTCGATTGCTATTTCACACTATAAGTAATAAAGTTTGGTGAAGTGGCTTTTTTGGATGAATCTGTTGGGTAGTTTTATTAAATTAATTATTAACCCAATTATTAATCATGTTTCCTTTTCTAAAAATGGACAATGGATTTATGCAAGAATGGGAAATGAATTTACGCAAACTTGAAATAGATTTATACAAGAGCTATTTTTTTACTTCATTTATCAATTTCAGCACTTTATAAAGCTCTCAGTAGAAAATATGACCATTTTTATTTTCATTTGAACGAAATTTTTCTCACAGTTTTGAATTGATAATTTATTTGTATACATTAAGCAAATATTTCAGTAACTAGAATTGGAAAAATATTTTCTTAGAATAACATATAACTGTATATTTTGATAATTCAATTGACATTTGAAATTTAAAATTTCATGATTTCATAAATTTTTAGACTTTTTCAACTGAAAAAAGAAAGATTTTTTTTATTAATTTTCGTACGGTTTTTTAAAAATCAAACATTAATTAATGTAACTAAATGTTTCGAATTTAAATAGTTCATACCTCTAAATTACAAGCATTAAAATGTATTTTAGAAAAAGAACAATTACATAATGAATAATTTGCTGTTCGCCTGTCACTCATAAAAAATTAGGTAAAATATGATTTTAAGTATAAGTATTTATCATGATTTTTAATTTCTAGTTAATATGTGAAGTCCAATGTGCTTCGACGGAGGATGTTGATACTGCTGTTAAAGCTGCTCATGTAAGTCTTTATTTATATAGGGTAAAATATAGGGTATTTACTTTATATGGGGTTATAGTGGTACAGCTTTTCTATGATTTAGACAATTTAAATATGAACGACTAAAATATTTTTAAAAATAGCTTTTAAAACCTTTCTTTTTAAATGTAATAAAATAAAAGTGACGCAATGTTGCTAATTAATGACAGTGAGATGACAGCCATGTGACTGGAGAATACAATATGAGACTAAGTGGAACCATACGGAATAGCATTTTTGCTCTTTCTAAACAGTTTTTAGCAACAGTTTCAAACTTTTAAATCGCTAGAAACAATAATTAGAATTTTTAATATAGCATAAATATATTAATGAAGCAAGATTAACTAAAATTTCTACTTTTGCATAAAAGTATTTTATTCCTTTGAACAGCTTTTTTACAGCAATTAAAAAGTTTAACCAAGTTAAATTTGGAGAATGAGTAAAATAAGCATGGAGAAATATTACACAAAAATCTTTTGGTCAATTGTGCATCCTAAAACACTTATTTTTTCTGCTTCTTTTTTTTTATTGTAAAATTTAATTTAATTATATTTATTTCTTTACTATTTTTGAATTATTCAAAAATAGTAAAGAAATACTATAGAAATAAGTAAGAAAGTAAATAACTTCTCTACTACTCGAACTACTCGGTCGATAGTATTCTAAAACAAACTTTTTTATTTTTCGTTTTCCAGCCCAATATATATATTATTGTTATTATTATTATAGACCTGAAAATAAGTAGATTTCCCTTTTGTCAACTTTTTAAAACACGCACTTTTTTTAAAATTTTTTTTGGGGGGGGGGAGAATTTTCATTTCCTTTTTTAAATTGTCTTGGAAGAATTAAAAATATAACTTCTAAACTTACAAATGTTAATTTTTTTTCATTATTTCGCGAAATTTAATTATTTTTTTATTATTTTTAATTGAGTGGATAATAAGCAACTTTCTACTCGAATAAATACACGCTAAAACATTTTTATTTTCTGTTTTATTTTTCATTTTTCAAAATTTAATTTAGTTTTATTTTCTACTAACAATAAGTAACTTTTTACTCGCTCAACTGCACCTTAAAACGAGAATTTTTTTCTGTTTTTTCTTCTCTCCATTTTTTCGAGAAACTTAATTTTTTTGAATGTTTCGGAAAATTCAATGTAAGTAATTTTAATTCCATTCTGAAACACGTAATTTTTTTCCTTTTTTTTAAAAGAAATTTAATTTTTTTATTTTACTTTTTAAGGTTAGAGTAAAATAAGTAACTTTCTTCTCTTTGTCTATTGCGTCATAAAATACACATTCTTTTCTTTATTTTTAATTTTTTCTAAAGTTTAGTTTAATTTTAATCCTTTTTTTAAAATTAATTTGAAAACAAATAACTTTCTACTTAGTCAATTACATCTTAAAACACGATTTTTTAAATATTTTTTCAGTAAAATATAATTTAATTTTATTTAATTTATTATACTTTTTACTTTTATTAAGTCGAAAATAAATAACTTTCTACTCAGTCAATAACTGCATTCTAAAGCATAAAATTTTTCTGTTAGTTTTTCTTCTTCGTTAACTTTTTTTGTTTTTATTTTTTTTTATTTTTTTAAAGGGGTATTGTAGCAGTAAGTATCACTTTAATTTTTTGACATTTTAGCTACTTATGTTATAAATGCTGTCAAAAATAGTTGTTTATTAAATTGACTCCAACTGTGAAAAAAACTGGAAAAAAAAATTTAATAGAGTCGAAAATTGTCCGTTATATGAAACCTAAAGACACTACTAATGTAATTTTGTTTTTAATGTAATAAATTGTAAAATAAAAAAAACGCAACTCATTGTACCTATTTATCAGAAATAATTAAATAATTTTATGTTTTTACACTTACTCCTTTTTTATTTTATCCCAAACTGAAACTAAACAGTAAGTAAAACAAATTGTTTCAATGGAAATACTCAAGTTGAATGTCAGAAATTCATAACTAGTTAACAATTAAAAAATATTATTTCCTTATTAAAATAATAATGAAAAGCTTATGAAAAAAATTTATTTTTGATATCTAAACTATTTTGAATATTTAAACACTTCAAAATTTCAATTTATCTTTTACTTTTTCATAATTTTATTCTAAGTTTTAAGAAAATTAGTAGACTAAATAGCTCAATACCGCTTTATAAAACTCTCTCCTTTTTTTTTGCGGAATATAATGCATGCTAAGATAAATTATTCATATCATTTTCGTCAAAATTCCGCGACTTAAGGACATAAAAATATATTTTAAATCATATTATCATAATAGCTTTTAGAAGTTATTGTTTTGAGCATATTGGTTATTAAACTTATAACTATGAATAGTAGTATTTAAAATAAAAATTAAAAAAATTATAAAAGTCTGTCATTTTTATAAAGTGCAGTTTGGCCATTTCCGCAAACCTGCTTTGTTTATTAACATTTTGTATATGAATTATAAGAGTTTGAATTAAATTTTTTCCTATAATTTATAAATTATGTTATAAAACATAATTTAGAAACGAAGATCTGTCACAAAACCATAAATTGCAACAATTATTCTATGTGAGTTATCAATTATGTGGATTATGCTTGTGCTTATACACGTTGAAATGAATCAAAAGTGTACAGTCAATTATATGAACAATGCATGTCTTCACACGTTGAATTAAAGGAAAATATAGGAAGAATTTCGTTCGATTTTACATCTTTGTAAAAAGGCTTTAATTCTCTTATGAATTCCAAATTGAGGGTATTTTTCAGAGATTCTGTCGCTAACTCGACTTTGTAATTTTATTTGAACCATTCATTGTTGTCAGGTTAAGTATTTCTCCAGTACATAATAAAAAAATTCTGGATCAGATTATGGTATACTTTTTGGGTCCAAAAAATCCATTTTATCGTAAAATCAATTTTTCCCCTTAATTTTTATAGTAATATTTAGTTATATATAGTGATCCTGTTATTTTACTGTAATTTTTATTGTAAAAATTAAGGTATTTCAGATTTTTTGTTCCGTAACATGTTCCGATAAAGATGGATGGTACCGTCACCCTCATTGCCGGAACCGTAAATTCCTTTTACTGTTAAAAACTGGATTAAAAAATAGCCCATTGGCTTTACATTTATAGTAAATCCATAACTGTAAAATCTTTTTACTATTATTTTTCCGGGAAATACCAGTGCTCTTGATCTAAATTATGAAAATGGCACAAAATATCAATATGAAGTAAAATCACAGTTATGACAAGATTTTTAAAATACTTTTTATTTTTATTTTTGAAAAAGTTACCCCAACGCTGCATTATCTGAGATCAAAAAATTTGCAAAAATTCAGAATTATACATTGATTATGACAGTTTTCATCGAAAAGGAAAAATATCGCCAAATCGGCAACTTTCAAAAAAAAATTTTTTAAATTTTCTTTAATTATTCAGGTTATTTATCCGCTTTAAAGCCAAGATAATTCTTTGCGGTATGATGGTAATTATATTGTAAAATTTAAAATTATAGGTATGCCTCAAGCGTTGAGCCCTCAAAATGTATGTTTTTCATTTTCCTTGGGAAAAACATTCCCGAATTTCCAAAATTTTCCTTGGGAAAGAACTTTGAAAAACATCTAGTTCAAATTAATGGTATGAAAAGGACAATAAATTAAAACGATTGGAATCATCAAACAGCATAAAACTAATAATGAACAACTTTTTTTTATAAAAGTGTTATTTGATGTAATTAAGAATTTTTTATGAACCACTCTAATTTAAAGTTTATTATTATTTTCAGAGCGCATTTGAAGAAGGAGAATGGAGTAAAATGAACGCAAGAGATAGAGCAAAACTAATGTTCAGGTAATGAATTATAGTTATAGTTGCATAATGAACATGAACTTGTTCTAATACAAGTTATATGCAATTGAAAAATAATATGATAATCAAAAATATTCTATTTTTTTGTCTATAGTGTGCAAACAAAGCGCGTGCCGAAACAAATAAAATTTACCGTATTTCTGGCTCTAAGGAAATATTAAAAAACTCGATAATTTTTAGCAAAGTGCTTTGGTAATGCTTTCCGTAATACAACAATAACATATGGTCTTAAAATATGTGATAATGCTTGGTAAACATGGTAATTTTTTAATGATACTTCAGAACATGGCATAAAAGTCATTTATTCGGTAAAATTTACTTTTCAGTTTTGTATTTTTACTAAATGTGTTGTAATTAGATCCAGAACCAGACTAGAAAACAAGAATATTCGGCAAACAGTTACCATATGAATGGAAAAATTACCCATTGAATGGCTTAAGTACCGTATATTTTGATTTTATAAAACAGCATTTTTTTGTTTATTTACCAAAAATGCCATTACTACAAGAAACGGGAATTTTAATAGAATTTTTTTCTCTGCGTGTGTATAATGTTTTCTAACAATTTTATTTTTTTAGATTAGCAGATCTTATGGAGAAACACAAGGAAGAATTAGCTACTATTGAAAGCATAGACTCTGGTGCTGTGTATACTTTAGCAATTAAAACTCATGTTGGAATGTCAATAGACACATGGCGCTATTTTGCCGGTTGGTGTGATAAAATTCAAGGCTGTACTATACCTATTAATAATGCTCGTCCTAACAGAAACTTGACTTTTACAAAAAGGGAGCCAATTGGGTAAGCTCATCATCATGTGTTGTATTTTTGCACTATTCTTATTTATGTTTCATACTTGTAATTAGGCTCCTAAATGAGAAACCATTTTTTCCCTAAACTCATAAAAGTTCATATTTTTGTTAAAAATTACGCGCTTTTGAAACTAAATTGTAATTCATGAACTCTCGTAAACATTCATTTTTAGCAGTTTTAGAGATTATCTTAAAACGTACTATAAAATAATTATGTAATAAGAACTGTTGCTTCAGTTTCATAGACATTCAGAGATTTATAAGGGACTTTCTTTAAATCAATAATTAGATACAATAATAAATGAAGAAGATTTTAAGTGATATTTTTGAAAATTTAAGTGCCTCTTCCAATGAATGGTTAAGAACACTAGAAATTTAAATCTCTCTTGTTTTATTATATAAGTAATTTTTTTAACTGTTGAATATTTCACTCTTAAAAAATATTTTATGAAGAACAATAAAGTTTCCCAAATAATGAAGTTTTAGAGTATTCGTTTGATAAATAGAACGATCACTATTTTATTTTATTTTATATCCGTCGTTGAACAGCCGACCCAATTTAGGCTTTACTACTACTAATGTTCAACTCCGTAGTTTTGTAATTTTGAGCCAATCCAGAAGACCAGGAAACTCCTAGATCAATACCCCGAGAGGTAGGATTTGTTATGGGAACATGAAGGACTTAGTGACTCGACTGATTTAACGTGCATCAGTCACCATTTACTACACGGGGAGTCTGGCGGGGAGCGAACCCACGACCTCTTGAACATGGGCCCAACCGACCAGGTTATCCCGGCCTTCAAAGATCACTATTAAAAAAATAAAATTTACATAAAAATAACACTTAAATTAGGAATATTTTGTGGGATACAATTCATTACCATACAAAAATTTTCCACATACATAAACATTAAAAAAATTTTTTGAAATTTTGAATTCAGATTTTTATAAGCACACATTTTTTAACGTTTTCAGATTATTAATGATATAAATTTTTTGCTAGCTGCAGTAATTATTCTAGTTTAAGGGATATCTAATCGAACAGGCCAGCAATTAATCGCCTATGCACTCATTTAATGCAACTCTGTATGAAGTCAGGTTTCCGTGCATAAATCTGAAGACACAATCCAAAATTTTACACTTTAACATAATGCCAATATCTTCTTCCACAAAGTTTTTTAATAAGTTACATTAAATTGAGACAATATTTGTAGCAAATGGAATAAACTTCAATCTGAGAGATTTCTAACCATATGTGAAAGAAGATCTCTTTAAACCAAATGGGATGAAAACAAATAGATACGGTTGTAATTGAATTTAATAAGGAGAAATTTTGAATTTCTAAACATATAGGGGAAAGATTGCCTTTACCGCAAAATAAGAATAATGCAGATAGCATAAGATTATTAAATAAACTTTAAATAAATAAACAGATACAGTATTTATTTATTTACTGTTGCAGTTTAGAGATTACAGTTTAAATGACAGTAAGTTTTAATTGTCTAGCGAAGCAACGAATCTCTAAAAATGCATATAAAATTAATAAATAAAGCATATGTGAATTCAGACGTGTAATTTTTATAACAGACACAAACGCTTATGTAATAAAAAAGACACAAATCAATCTTCATTATTTTGTGTAACGGCGCATTGTTATTATTTAATTAATTATTTGAAACCAACATAGGGGAAGATTATGTCCTCACTTAATGAAAGTTTCTGGGTTTAAATATTAATGTAAAAGCCCCTGAGTTGCTAAAATTATCTCAGGACTGTTTTGGCCATTGATAAATCTTGAAAAGATGTGAAGAACGAAACATGTGATGTCAAAAGTTAATTATAAATAGTAGTCAACGAAGACCATTAAACCAACGACAAAAGTCTTATCATTAAAAAAAAACATAACTGATAAGGAAATGATTTCTAATTAACACTCAAATGAATGTTCAGGATAAATTTTTAATCACATATTTTTCGTGAGAAACAAAGTTAGTAGTCGATAAAAAGAAGGTTATAATAAGTCTAGAAAATATTAAGAAAATATTATAATGTGGCCCGCCTAAGTTTGCGAGAGATTTATCGAAAGAGTGAGGCGAATGATTCAATTTCACAACCTTCGGAACTAAAACATTTGCTAAAGGAACAAGGTTTAAGATGTAGAAATCATTAAGATAACCCCAAATATCAGAATCTAACTTAAGGGATATATCATTTGCCTCCCAATGAGGAGAACCGGCTTCCATGGACAATGGCTGGTCGATAGGAATTCCGCACCCGTCTCGCACTGACCACAGAGCTGACGTAAAATATCCTCAATGGTAGATGGACCATGGGTTATAATCCCCTATAAACGTTGGAGGTTTTCCTCTCCATGTACGCAAATGAAGGTTAGTTCCATCAAAAATCCTTTCACGAAGGCTTCTCCCAATACTTGATCCAGGAGCTTCCTTTTCTTCTGGATTAGTTTCAAAATTACAACGCTATGAGTAGAATATTAATTGCATCAAAGCCAAAATTGGTTCAGCTGTTTAACTACGATTAAAGTATTGAGAAGCATTATATTTCCTAAGTTAAATAATTCTAAATGAATACATTTTATAGAGTATGTGGAATCATAACTCCTTGGAACTATCCCTTGATGATGGTGTCGTGGAAAGCTGCAGCATGTTTAGCTGCAGGTAATACTGTTGTATTGAAGCCTGCTCAAGTATGTCCTCTTACTGCTCTTAAGCTTGCTGAACTCAGTGTTTATGCTGGATTTCCTCCTGGTGTAATCAGTGTTTTGACAGGGACAGGTATGTTTATGTTAGAATTTGAAAATGGTTTAGCATTCCCTGATTTTTTTAAAAAGTGTTCTATGCGTAATAATTCTTTGAATTTACAGGCACTGTATGTGGGCAAGCAATGGCTGACCATCTTTTAATAAGAAAATTAGGATTTACCGGATCAACTCCAATAGGAAAAGTTATAATGAAGAGGTAATAAAATATACATTACCCTGCGGATTATATGTTTTCCTTTTATTTTTAAATATTTTAAAAAAGGAATCTGTTATTTTTTTATTCTCTTCAGGGGACGAACTTTAAACATTGTAATAATATTGATAATTAACGTTTCCTTTTATATTTTTAGAAAAATTGCAATTTTTGAGGGAAGAAAAGAAAATAAATAAATAAATGAATTCATATGAAATAAAATAAAATTCCTCACAGAGATTTATTATGCATTGTGCATTTATCTTAAACAATACTCGCAGTAGAGGAGGGTAGCCTAAAGCGGGTAGGCATTCGTATCCCGCCGCATGGCGCGCAAGCGCCGATATCTAAGTATGCCGTGATTACCCGAATACTCACGAGTTTCAATCAGTCCCAGCGGAGCAGAAGTAAAGCGACATGGCGTAACCAAGTACAAAATAAATTTATTAAAAAAGCTCAAGGTATGTAACTTGTGGCTAGTCGAAAGCGGACTTACTTTTTTTATTGTCAATATTATTATATTATTCTAACACTATTCACCTATAAACTACGATGTTCAATTGTTTAATTTTTTTTTATTTAAGGTTATAATTTTTTTAGTGAAAAATATGCTTTTGGGCAAAGCGGGTAGATACCCGCCTAATAAATACTCAGTACGACGTAGCTTCACTTGTTGGAAAAGCATATTTAAAAGCAGCTAGTGCACAAAATGCTGTTAAAGGATATAAAATCCTCAGGAATATGGCCCACGAATCGACTCATATTTAGTGATGCTGACTTTTCGCCAGCTAGTCTGACAGACAGGGCTCTCAGACTAGATTGAAAACACCAACGACAGCCCATCGCAGATCTAATTTACCGATGCTGGTCGTCTTTCTAATAATTCTGACTGCTCTAATTCTACATCTGTATTTAAAAACGTGGATCACAATTACTCTCAAGCTTCAAGGATTTCGCTACGACGCACAAACGGAGAAACTTCGTATGATCCAGCTGTTGAAGATGATCCTTCATGTTCTACGACAACTAGTGACAATTCATTTCAACCAGTATAAGAGCCATTGATACCTCATGTGAAGCCTGTGGATATAAGACCGCTACCAAAACCTACTCCGAACAAAACTAGTCGTAAACGTAAAACTTAAAGAGCTGAAGTCTTAACAAGTTCACCATTTAAAAATATGCAAATAGAAAAGGAAGAAAAGAGGAAACGTCTTAGTAACAATGCTGCTGTTAAAATTTTTTTTAAAAATCTTCTTTCGACAAGTAAACCAGGTAAAACAAAAAAACAAAGAGCTTCAAAGAAAAAAAATTGCAAAAGAGTATTTTTGTCTTGTTTGTGGGGGGCCTTATGAGGACCCACCGCTAGAAGATTGGATTGAATGTGGAGATTGTAAAGACTGGGCTCATGAAGCTTGCACAACTTATTCAGGAAGAGGGTCTTATTTTTGCGAACTATGTCAAGAATAACAAATCATAATTTGAGACTTATGAAATAAGTCTAAAATTGTTATTTAAATTCTATTTTTAACGTTTATTATACGTGTGATTAAGGTCTCATTATTAATGTTTAAGAAAATTAATATGCGCTTGTATTTGTAAAATCTATGGTGCTTACCCGCTTTGCCCGAACGGCTTACCCGCTTTATGCCCCCTTGTAGGGCAAAGCGAGTTTTTTCAGTGTTTTTTATTTTTGATAATAAATAATCATAAAATAACACAATAATCATTTCTCATTTTAAAGTTCAAGATCTCTCTTAAGAAATAAAATCAAAAACGCTGCGATAAAAGCCCAAAAACTACAACTTCTGAGAGTTAACCTACCCGTTCTCCCACCCTCCCCTAATTCATAAACATAAATTAATGTTTTACTTTTTAGTTTTAAACGTGATTGAAGACAGACAACGAAAGAAATCAAAGTTAAACTTAACTTTTATTCGTTTATTATTAACATCGAAAAATACCGTTTTATTAAGTTAAAAGAGATTTTTTTTTATAAAATGGAGAAAAATCAATCTCAAAAATATACAAATAAAGGTTGTGTAATGATTTAAATATATATATATATATATCAATAGCAAAATTCTCTTAAAATAAAAGAAATTCAAAATTATTATGACAATTATTAGAGAAAAGATGAAATTACTAAATGATAAAAATACCAAAGGAAAAAAAAATAGTTATGTTCTATAGGGGAAACANTATTATATATATATATATATAAATCTGCAGAGTATTCTGTTTTATTTATGCGAATTTTAAAATTTTCAGCTGCGCCCTATCAAATTTAAAGAAAGTATCTTTGGAATTGGGTGGAAAATCTCCTTTAATTATATTTTCTGATTGTGATTTGGATAAAGCTGTCAGAATGGTAAATTTTTTTCCTTTTATATTATATATTTTTAAATTTGATTTTCAAATGAAATGAAGTTGGCGAAGATCTTTTTTCTAAAAATAAATTTAACAACTAAAATAGATTAGTTTTTGCAAGAAAAATACTAAATTTTCTTTCGAATGTAAAAAAAGGAAAGAAAATAAACTTTTTTTGTTTATTTAGGGGAATTTTTAATAATTTGAAACTGTAATAAGCGATGCAACATTTTTGTATTTCATTCTTTGTAAAATTTATTAGATTTTTGGCGACAGTTTATACTATAGCATTTCGTTTCGAACTTTTTTCTTTAGATTTTTTACATATTATTCGGAATTTAAACAAAATAAATAAAGAATAAATAGATTTGTTTGAATCACTTCCTATTAGTTTGATTTGAAGAGAAACAATGTATGCAAAATATAAATAAGTTCAAGGGATATTTTATTTTTTATCAATAACTACTATTAAAAAAAAATTTGATTTAAAAAAAAATTTCTTTAAAACTTGTTTTAATCGATTAAATTGGCAATTCTGTAAGGTTTAACAGTAATATAGGGTTACCACAAATGAGTATCTAAATGTTAAAAATTTATATTTTCAAAGTTACTATACATGTTATTACTTGATTGAAAAGCTTCATTAGCTTAAAAAATATATAAATTGAAAAAAGCAGTCGAGATGTTTCAAACGCTCAAAAATGGGCGTCCATTTTTAAAACTCGCCAGTTTCAACAAACAAACTCGCCAAACAAATGTGATTTAAAATATAAAACGAAAAGTTTGAAACAGAAAATGAAGGTTCTCATCCTTATTTTCGGTTTTATCTCACCTTTATTTTCTCACCTTTCTTTCTTGAAAGAAGTCTAAATTTTAAAGCGCGTCTAGTTTGTCCGAGGTTGCCAAGGTCGCACTGTGTGTTGTAAATGCTATTATCAAAACTAATAGGATTTTTAAAGAGACAAGCCTAAAATTGATTTTAAAACGAAAAGGGGAGAGAATATTGACAAGTTTGTAACAAACGGGAGACAAGAAAGCAGTAAAGAAACAAGTTTTTTGTAAGGATTCGAAGAATAGAGGTGTTTGGGTCTAGTGTTTTCGAGCGTTGAAACGTCGACTACTATTTCCAGTCTATATATTTTTGAAGAGAATGAAGTTTTTTAAAAGTAATATTTTACCACTTCTGTTTCTTGGGACTATTTATTTACTACACATTTTAAAATAAATTGTACACGATTCCAGTTGCAACTGTTTACGGCGTGACCATTTTGCCTGTAATTGTTTGACGGAAAGATAGCTTAAAATATGTTTTTTTTTCAGGGTATGGGTGGCGTGTTTTTCAATAAAGGAGAAAACTGTATAGCTGCTGGAAGATTATTTGTTGAAGATTCTATACATGACGCTTTCGTAAATAAAGTTGTAAGTTCCATTCATTTATGAACATGTCATTTCTAAAAGAATATCTAAAGTTTAAAACTTTTTATAAAAAGCATCCATATCAAAATGCATATTTGGTTTTAAAATCATTTGTTTTAATCTCTTTTTTTTATGTCTTCCTTATGTTAGGTTACTGAAACTAAAAAAATGGTTATCGGAGATCCTTTAAATCGATCCACAGATCATGGTCCTCAAAATCATGAGTAAGAGCATTTAAATTATACTTAGAATTTGAATAATCTATATTGATGAATGAAAAATGGCAAAAAATTTCAATATTTTCTTTTGCATCCTTTATTTATTTATTTCGTTTTGATTTCAAAAAAAAGATTTTTTTCTAAAAGCATGATGTTGAAATCGATACTTAAAGAAATTAAACTGCAGCTGTTGTTTTTTTCAAAAAAAAAAAGAAAGAAAAAAACAAGAAGCAGAATTTTTATGCAATATCACAAACCTAGTGCCTTTTGGAGCAGAATCTCGTTTTAATTGAGAGAGACTGCAAAAAAAACTTTTTTTTCTTTTACAGAAATTTAATTGCTTTCTACTGCCAGACTTTTGAATATGTTTGCTTAGTGCAGTATGTTACCGTTTGATAAAAGATCTTATGAATATCGTACAGTCAGCATTCAAAAAAAAAAGTGGACTACCCTGAATAACTTTTGGATCTTCACGTTCTAGGACTCATTCTTAAGGGTTATAGGAAGTGACCTCAAATATGCTAATTAATTAGTGCAGATGATGTTCGAAGTTACGAAATCAGCCACTAAAACATACTTTCTCTAAATAAACGTACCTTTTTTTTGACGGATTCACATTTCTGATCCTTAAACTGTAGGGAGTAGCCGCAATTTGGGAAATATAGTCACCATAGTTAGGTTAAGAGAGCGATCCAAAGTTTGCACCCCTATGCTAATTTTACTTTTTACGTATTTTACTATATCTCGAGAACTTTTTAAACGAATTGAAAAATCTTTGCACAAAATTATAAAATTTCTTTATCCAAAGATAATTCCATGCAGGAAATAAATTTTAATAGATATTTATTATTTCTTATAATTTTATTATTTTTATAATTTTCACGATTTTAAATGATAGTCCAAAATTTTTTGAATTGAAAGGTATATATTTTTTATATCATTGCAAGAAATTGGGAAATCGATCGAATAGTTCCTGAAAAATTTAATTTAAAAGAAGTCAGATATTTAAAATTCGATTTCTCAGGAATTATTTGACCAATTTCGCTCAAATGTTTTATTTAAACATATAAAATTACATTCTTTAAAATGGTGCGAAAATGCATAAATTTCAATTCAAAATGTTTTCGACCATTATTAAATAAATATTTACTAAAAATTATTTCTTGCGTAAAAATAATGCGAATTTTACAATTTGGTAAAAATATTTTCCATTTGCTTAAAAAGTTCTGGGGTTATTGCGAAATACGCCAAAAGAAAACTAATATTAAGGGGTCAAACTTTGCAGCGCACTAGGGTCAAACTAATTAGGACCATATTTCCCAGATTACTACTATACCTGATATTTTGGGTGTCAGAAATTCGAATTTATCTAATAAAAGGTATGTATATTCAGAGAAAGTACATTTTTGTGTCTAATTTCGCAACTTGAAATATAGTCTACATTTATTAATTAGCATATTTGAGGTCACCCTTCCATCAGGAAAATAGCATTTTGTCGCAGAAATATTTCATTAAAACTAATTAAACGCTGAAATAAATACTTTTGAAAGTTATTTTAAGGATTAATAAAAAAAACGTTAAAGTTTTTCTTTAATCCATTTACTGTTAAAATAATATCGTGGTTTCATACTTTACTTTTTTTGGACATGCATTAGTAAACTAAATTGCTTTTTTTAAATTCTTTGACACTGTAAATACACTGTAAAAAATTCCGGTAAAAAGCAACAGTACTCAGGGTGCCGGTATTTTTTACCGTCAAATTCATTTTTACCGGAATATACTACGGTCCAAAAATTCTGATATATAGTAATTTTTGTAAAATAAATATCGTAAAATCATTGAATCACTTTAACTAAATAAATATTACCGTAAAATGTACTGTAAAAATGGATTTTACACATGAGACACCCGAAGTGACGATACTTTATACCGGGATTTCACCCGGAATTTTTTACAGTGTATAATTTACCTATTGCTATTATTTGTTAAGTTTATTATTAAATAATCATCTTATTTAAACTTTATACACTAATTTTTTAACTTCTAGTTACTTTAAAAAGCGTTCTTTTTTGTGTTTAACATTGGCTTATAGTTGACATTCCAAAGCCCAAAATTGGCTCTTTTGGAGGAAAAAATATTTTTTAAAAATATATTTAGGAAACTCTTGCGTAATAATTTATATCAATTCCTGTTACTAGACAAAATTATAAACTTATTCTTAAATTTGGGCGTTTTTTTAAATTTAAACTTAATTGTTGTCAAAGTTTAAAATTTGGATCTGTGTTATTCTCCCACCTTTGGAGAGTTGCCAACTACGAAAACAACGAATTATTTGCTGTAAACTGTGTTGTAACTGTGTTTTCTTAAAGCTCTGGTGTTGTATATTATAAGGATGTTTTTTGAAGGCTCCGTCGTAATATGAAATGATGCTTTTTTTTGCAAATAATATGCTATTTTTATAACTGCTGTGAGTTTGCAACTGTTATTCAAGACGGTAAGGACAAGTTTAGCCCATCGATAGCCAGCGCAGTCTGCTCTTAATTTGAGAATGGCGCAAAACGTCAAAACGGAAAAAAGCCACAGTTTAGTGAAAATGAAAAGCATTTGTGGACTAATTTTTTAATATTTAAAAACTTACTCGAATGCTGCATTACTTGGGCTCATAAAAATATTCAAAAACTGAGAATAAGGCAGTGATTTTCATTTTCATCTAGGTTTAAAAATGCCGCCAAATTGGCGATTTTTAAATAAATTTTTAAAAAACGAGAAGTTTAATAACTTTTAAAACATTTAAGCTATTTGTCCGTTCTAAAGCCCAGATAATTCTTCAACGCAAGATAGGTTCTATATATAGTTTAAAATCATCGCGTTGCTTCAAGCGCTAGGCAATTTTTTTAGGCACTGCGGCTTTTTTATTATGATTTTGTTTTTGGCAACAGAGCTTCGAGAAACATTTTATGATATATATGATAGATAAAAACAGCAGCTTATGATATATAAAAACAAAACATAATTTACCAAGGGACGGAGTTCTTGGTCATGCAAAAATCTCTCCCACATACTCATTGACTAAAAATGTGTTATTCATTGATTATTAAGTTAATTTTAATAATTATATGTTAATTTTAATAATTATATGTTAATTTTAATAATTAAGTTAATTATAATTTGTGTATTAATTTATTTTGATTATTATTTAACAGACTGAGTAGATACATAAATATGTTATTTATATGATTTCAGAGCACATTTAAACAAACTTATTGATTATTGTAACACTGGTGTTAAGGAAGGAGCCAAATTAGTTTTAGGCGGAAAACGACTTAACAGAAAAGGTAATTTTAATCAAATAATCCATTAAAGAGATGAATACACATGGAAAATATTTTTTTAATTAATCTTTATTTGTTACAATTGGACAGAATATTTTGTTTACTATACTTTGAAAATCTTAGAATCTGCAAAATTATAATATAAGAATATTTATTTTTAGATTTTGGTAAATATTTTTAAGTTAGAAAACGACTACTATGTGAATATTTTAAAGTAATAATGAGAAAATATTATCTCTTAATAAATAATATTATAAATGAATGTAAGAATGATTTTTTTTTCCTTTTAGGATTCTTTCTGGAGCCTACCATATTTACAGAAGTAGAAGATCACACGTTCATAGCCAAAGAAGAAAGTTTTGGACCTGTTATGATAATTTCTAGGTTTAAGGATGGGTCAGTTTAAATTTTGAATTATTTATCTATCCGAAATAATTACTTTGAGAAAATATATTTATTAACGAGAATATAAGTTAATTAGATTTCATTACAAAAATGATAAATAAAATAAAGTATTTATTTATTAAATTTTAAATGATATAAAATGTTAGGATTTATTTTATAGAAATACTACCAAGCTATACACTTCATTTAAAACTCATACTTTAAAAAAATTTATAAAGGTATAGTGGTGCAAATGCGGCCTCGAGTCAAAGGATCATGAAATGTTACTTAAAAGTAAACGCCTAAATATATAATATTTAAAAGTATCTTAGTTTAAATAGCAGTTAAATTTACCAAATTTATTAATGTAAAATAGCAAATTGAAAGGGACCAGAATAATCTTGATGTCAAGGTGCTGGGCTCACGTTCGTGAGAATGAGAGTTCGAATCCAGCCGACTTTCTGTGTAGTGAACAGTGACTGGTGCACGTTAAATTTGTCGAGTCACAAAGTTCTCCTTGTTCCCAAAACAAATTATACTTCTGGGGATACTGAATTGGAGATTGATCGTTCTCTGGTTCAGGTCAAAATTACGATCTGTGATTAAATGAATGAATGTGTGAATAGGTCAACTTTATGAAACGGGTGTGATGTATGGGTGTGGCAGAAGTCAAATTCTTTTCCGGAGGTGGTATCACAGGAAAACAAGAACTGAAACTAGATGGTGTCACTGGAAGCTCCCCCTATGCCTTAATGGCGCAGACGACAACAACAACAAGTTTAGCCGGGATAGCCTGGTTGGTTGGACACGGGGCCCATGTCCAAGAGTTCGTGGGTTCGATCCTAGCTGGCCGAAAACTTCCCGTGTAGTAAATGGTGACTGATGCAAGTTAAATCCGTCGAATCACAAAATCCTCCATGCTCCCATAACAAATCAAACCTCTGGGGGTACTGATCCAGGAGTTTCCTTGTCTTCTGGATTGGTTCAAAATTGCAAAGCCATGGAGTTGAGCATCAGCAGTTTTAAACCGAAAATTGGGCCATAAACTATGGTTATGAAATAATAATAAAAATACAGATTGGGATTGCTTGATTCTAAGTTAACTCCATTTCTAACGCATGAAATTATGGTTTTCAGGATTGAATGGAATGGGAATGAAATTTGGACAAGCTAATATCCCAATGAAGCGAAAATCCAGAAAAACTAAAATTCCTCAACACTACTAAATATCATTTTTTGTACCGGAACAAATTTTAAATTTAATGATTAATTTTTTTTAATATTAATATTTATATTCTAATATACAGTAAGCAAACTATTTTGAACGCAAAATTCATTAATAGCTTTATAAAATAAATAATCCTTAATATTTTTTGATGTAACAATCATTGGGCTTTCACAGACTGTGCTCCAATTTTAATTCGCCAAAGAAGACATCTTAAGGGAGTCTGTAGGACATATATCAATAACACTAAAATTGACCTTTTTTTATGTATCTTTTCTAAGAAACTACTTATGATAAATCTTTGAAATTTTTTGAGGATTTTCGAGATTATATCAGTGGTATGTTAGTGATAATGTTTTAGCGTTAACGTTTAGTGTTTCGAGTAACGAAAGATTTTTTGCTAAAAATCGAAGAAACTTTTTAAGAAATTAAAAGTTCTCAGTTCATAATTTTTTCAAAAAAATTTCTGCCAAAGATATGTATTAATGGTTAATACAGTGAAAACATGTATATGTAAATATTCTGTGAAAAAGACTGAAGCAGTGTCTTGTTTAGATGCTCTGAAAAGGTACATGGAGAAAGATCAATTTTAGCATTATTGGTATATGAAATATTTACCCCTACCTGCCCCAATTTAGGGCATACGGGTAAATGTTTATTAAAATCAAGAAAAACAGAAAAGTACATAAAATACAAAAAGTAACATTACAGAGTAACATTATGTAAACATTACAGAGTCTGATGGCAACAGCAGTAAAATAATTAAAATGCTCCGAGAGTCCCGCCTTATAGTGCCTTCCCTTAAATATATAATACCGACTTATATATATAACCGACTTCCCTTAAATATATAATAATTAATTAGTAAATTTCGATACTTTCAACGCGTCACAGAAATAAAGTTCGTCTGTGTAAACATGTTTTTGGTGGATTGTTGACTTCTAAAACAATGAAGGTTACAATGCAATTTTAAAATCCCTTTCTTCTTCTAAGACACTGCAGCTTGTTGCAAGCGTGTCCCAATCAGTTTCCGTCATCCGGTCCCATAAACACTGCTTAAAACGATTAAAAGATGATGAGATTGTGGATTGATCTTGCATCTGGAGAATTGTTTGAATGATTGATACATTATCCACAGACGTTGTAGGATATATGAGATAAAAAATGACATTTCTATGACAGAAAAAACGCGTTTTATTGAACATATGGTTACAAAAGGGGAAAAAAAACACAATTTGTGCATGTGAGAAGCACAAATAAAAAAAGGTGTTTCCTTAAAAGAAAATTGTTTTTGTAGGGGGTATGGTTTCCCCGGATGGCCAGCAACGTTGAGCAACTTTGAGGCATCGAGTCAATGAGATTATTAGTGAGGGGCTGGGGAATTCTCTCTCACTTCTCCAGAAATGCTCTTTCCAGTTCTTGGAGAGTTCGGAGGTAGTTGGCGTCCAGCAATTCATCTGCCTAGAATGTCCCAAACATGATCGATTGGGTTCATATCCGGAGAAAATGCTGGCCAATCCATTCGTATGATTCCTTCCTCCGAAAGGATATCATACCAAGTTAGGCCTGCAATTGTCGTTCATTAACAGGAAGTAATCTCAAATTGCTGCAGCGTAAGGGACTGCAATAGGTCTCATGATCTCATCCCTATATCAGCGAACAGTCAGAACTCCATTTCGAATGATATTGAGATCGGTGTGCCCATCAAGAGAGATGACAGCACAGACCATCACTTCCCCATCGCCAAATCGTACAATTTCGTGTGCGATTATTTCTAGAGCCACGTTCTCTCCAGACGAAAATACGCCTATTATCAGGATGAACAGAAAACGGAGCTCGTCAGAGAAAAGAGGATAGCGCCATTCATTTCTCCTCCAGTTCACATGCTTTGTTTTCCACTCCTTGCTGTTAACGTGACGCTCATCATTGGTCAGCGAGCATACATATCTACAGTGTGAAGGCCATTTGTGTAGTTGAAGAATTCATATTTCGGTGTCCCCGAGCCGTTAGCGTTAAATAATGGTCTCCATTGGGTGTTGTTGCAGGTCTATAAGCTCTGATCTTCGCATTTCCAGTCTCCAAAAAACGGTTCCAGATTCTGGAAATCACACTTTGTGAAGCTCCAATGGCTTCTGCTACTTCGGCTTGTATTTGGCCCCCTCTAACCGGAAAACAATTGATTCGGTTAAATGACATCTTTTGAGACATCGCACTGATCGAAACACTGAATGTTCATCATTCTTCTTTCCTTTGTCTTGCATTAAGTTGAAAGCCAAATCAAATTCGCTGCCACTAAAGCGTCGTCTTCGACGTCACACTCGAAATTTGCCTACTGTGAAGTTTGAAAATAAGAAAAATTTGTGTCTACCATTTTATTTTTACAAAAAATTTGCTTCTATCGTTATTTTATACAAGACTTATAATATCCTTTAATTGTTCGAGCAGTGGGCCTATAAATATCAGTCTACCATACATAACTTTTGGATCTAGGTGTTTCACTGCATCAAGAATTTTCTTTTGCACTAATTAGTATAAAGTTGCCGACACCATTTTCGTTAATCAGTAACAATAAAATTTATAATTAGAGTAAAATAAGATACATATAAAAACCAGTAAAGTTATTTTTATGATACAATAGATAGCAAGAATCATTAATTTAGGATGCATATATGCACTGCTTCTTAAAATAAAATTAGTTTGCTAATCAAACGTAAACATAGCACAGAGAGAATATTAATATGAATTCGAACTACGCTTAACAAAACCGAAGAAGATAAGTGGCATAATACTATTGACAGATTTATGTAAATCTTCTTATGAGAATATAATCATCTTTATTAAACAATTAAAAACAGACATGCCTTTAAAAATAATTTATATTTGTTCCTGTTGAATGTTCAGCATATTGCGAGGCGAAATCAAGCTTTTACCTTCTCAGGCAAAAAATATCAATCATCTAAAAATTTCTAATCTGATTGTCCGACGCCAAATTGGCTAAAATAATTCATCTATGGAGCAAGCGTATCTGCTCTGAATTCCTGGAGTTTAGAAATTTGTTTGAAAGCACGATTCAATATTAATCTGAAATAACACACAATTTTCAGAAATTTCAACATCAAATTTGGATAGGTATTACATCACAGTTTTTACAATGTAGAAACCAATCAGAACAAATGCATAATAAAAGGAAAGGTAAACAGTAATACAGTTTATGAAATTGAATTTATTTCTAATGCCCTAAATGGACATTAAAAAATAATCAGGCCAGAAGAGAGGGGGAGAAATACTTCCTGAATTATTGACGTTTTTTTTTCTTTAATTAGTTGCAATTCTTCATACTCTTATAGAATTTTGTCTCAGAATACACAATTAAAATAACTGAATAATTAGAAAACAATCTTTCAGAAATGGTAAAGAAGTTCTGAACTTCCCAATGCGTCTTTTATGCGCTCATGTCAAATAGTATAAATCAATTACTTCTAGTCGAGCATAAATATTGAAGTAACCCGACTTTTATTTTTAGAGACATAAATGAAGTCTTAAAAAGAGCAAATGCTACTGAATTTGGACTTGCTTCTGGTGTGTTTACTAAGGATATCTCGAAGGCTATGTATGTGAGTGAAAAAATTCATGCTGGAACTTGTTTTATTAACTGTTATAATAAAACTGATGTTGCTGCTCCTTTTGGAGGATTTAAACAATCCGGATTCGGAAAAGATCTGGGTAAGATTTCTTTTGTATTCATGCTTCTTTAATGCATTAGTTCATACTAAGGTACAGAATGTTTAATTAGAAGTAAATTTTTAACCTTTTTCCTATACAGACATTCCATCAATTAACATTTTTATCCTTTTTTCCCTTTTTTTTTTCTTTTTTGAACAGCACTTTATGCTTTCGTACCCTCTATTAGGCGCAAAATTATGCTTAAGGAAAAAAATAGTACAAACACGCACATACGTACATAGGAAACAAATTTAAGTAACAACGGTCAAAGTCGAATAAATAATGACGAACTTGCACACGGTCACGAATCTAATCTTTTCCCCCAGATTGCCGATGAAGATGAAACATGTTGGCTTGTTGGATAAATAATAAAATTTTCTCGAAAAAATATTATGGGACATCATGATGTCTGCAATCATTTTTCTCTCGCAACTTAAAACGTAGCATGTGTTATGCAACATAAAACGCTCTTATTTTTTATTTTTAAGAACAATTTAGGAACTATACAAAATAGTACAAGATAAATCATATTTTTTTTAAAGAATAATTTAGGAACTATTCAAAATGGTACAAGATAAATAGTATATTTAAATTCGGCACCTTACAATCTAAAAAAATGAAATCAATGGAAAAAAAAAATCTTGCAGCAAATTCATGTGACAGGTCATGAAACTTCGCTTATGGAGTTCCTGTTTCGTTCAAAAATTCTTTAACATATGACGCAGCACGAGAAACAATAGAAAACCCCATCGCAATTTTTCAACATTAATAAGGAACGATTTTCTCGATATGTCTTCGATCAGTCACTATCACATGAATGAACTTAAATAACCAAAACTCTTTACTCCATGATCAATATCAATGGAAGGTGGTTAAAAAAAAGGTACAAAGGTACGCCATCTATTGGAAATGATTTTAACTAAAAGCAGGAACTTGGAAAAAATTTCGTTTTTTATATGAATTTGCTACAAGAAGTTTTTTTTGTTTTAATTTTTATTTCTTTACTTTTTTGCAGCCATAATTTTAAAAAAAAGGTACAAAGGTACGCCATCTATTGGAAATGATTTTAACTAAAAGCAGGAACTTGGAAAAAATTTCGTTTTTTATATGAATTTGCTACAAGAAGTTTTTTTTGTTTTAATTTTTAACTCTTTACTTTTTTGCAGCCATAATTTTTTAAAAACTATCTGTCTAACTTAAGAAACCCTGTACTTAAAAATAGAAGCAATACACTGTTTATTTGAAAATTATAATTCGTATATTGAAAATTCCTCGTTAAGTTTTTAAATAGTACTTAAAACTTATAATAAGTTTGTGAATTTTTTTATGGAAGTTTAAGTATTTATTAATAATTTTTTTTTAGGCCAAGAGGCTCTTAATGAATATCTCAAGACGAAGTGTATAACAGTAGAATATTAAAGGACTCTCTTTGAATGCTGTGTAAATATTTACTTTGAAATATCAAGAAGATTCTGTAATTTGAAAAATTATAATTCAATGTAAATTTATATGTAAAATTTAAGATTTTTTTATGCATTGTTTCTTTTCTTAATATTCCTTATATTTCTCCAATTATAATATAAACAGTATTTACAGAGTCTCCACTAAACGACTAACCCAATTTAAACATAAAAAAACATGATTTGAGATAAAATTGCGCAGCTTGCTCCACTCTTATTAGAAAAGCGACAAATATTGAAAAATTCATAGCGTTAAAAACAGTTAAAAAACTAAATAACAAGACTTTCCATATTACTGACTTTAGTAGCAATAATATGCCGTATTCTCAAAACAAAATATGCACATACGCGCGGCAATATCTCAGTCGGAATGGACTGAAATGCAATACAAACGTAATGTTCTATATCCGCAAGAGTTTGGGGCTTTTGCCTTTTATACCTGTACGCAGCCTTTTGTTTGATTCCATGGAGTACACCATATTTTTATATTTTTGCACAACAAACTTTAGCAGGAACGTACTTAACGAAACTGCGGAAACTAAGAAAGATGCCAAGGAGTACCTGGCCAATAAGGCCACCTCCATAATGATGGCGTATCCAGTGCTTAAAAAGATGGATCTAAAATGATGTTGAAGATATTAATTTTCTCCATCTGCTGAATTCCTGGAGGTAAACAGCTAAAAAAGGTTATATGCAGTATTCCAATTTGATTTCTGATGGTACTTAACGATGATTGACTGAAAAATCATGAACGTTCTGCCTGTATTCCTACGGCAGGTTGACGCCAGTGCCTCATAATGGGGGAATATAGAACTATTTTTAACAATATATATATTTTTTAAATTTATCACTTTTCTGTAATAACAATGCAGCAAACGGCGCATTATTATCTCCAACAGCATTTTTTTATTTAAGTTTAAAATGGATCTGTCATTTAGGGGACAACCTGTTACTTAAGTTATAATAGATTAATAATTCAAATACACCTCTGCCTTAGTTTAGGGCCACTTAAGAGTGTGAAAAACGCATTTTTAAGCCTCGATTTGGTAGATTAGTAGAACGTCGATTATCCTGACTGGTCAGTATCAAGGTTTATCCAGTTATGGATAAGTGGACATCTTTAAAAAATGATTATGACATACTTGCCAACTTCTCCTGCTTCTGGCGGGAAATTTTTCTAAAATTTTAATTTAATTTACAGAAACTAATTAGTTATGAACTTAATTACTTAAGAATTTAATTTACAATGCTTTTGACCTGCACTCTATGTAAGCATTTTAAACAAATATATAAGACCTGAAAATCGCGAAGTGAAGTTTGTTAGTGCTTGAAGAATTGAACAAATTAAACTTACTTTAATTATTATTTCACTACGTCTTCCAGCATAGTGGAGATCTTCTAGAACTTCTAAATTGGCATGTATGGTCTATATAGCAATATTTTTAGACAGATTCCGAGCATTTCCGTGAGAACCAAACATGAAATGCTTTGTCTTCCTCTTTGAAATTCGAGTTTTTCATTGTTTTTAGTTCCCACAGTCTTCTTTGTTCAGAACTTATGCAAAGTTACAAACCGCATCACTGTTTTCGTTGTTTTTTTCTGTCTTTTTATTTTAAAATATCCGGCAGTTAATCACGTGCATATATTGATAGTTGATAGTCCATATTCAAGTCCTATATTGTGGTCATCTTTCTTCAATCTCTTTCTAAAATTACTTATTTTCATAAAATATTTCTTTTCCATTGTCAAATAACATCGAATTTTGAAATTGACCATGTAATTTTGGAGACTAAAGACCATTCCATTTAACGTTCGTAAATGCATATTAAAGTGCACTATTACATATTTCTCGTAAAAAATGGTTAAATAAAAATTTATTGAATGGTTATTTTACCTTATTTAATCAAAGCAGTCAAATAACTATAAATAAAATGGTAAGCAAACTGTTAATTTTGAAAAAAAACGTTTATTAACTGCTTTCACCTAATACGGCTCAACAACCTGAATTTTATCACACCAACTAGAAAAACCTAATGAAGCTATTTAGTAACTGCACAAATATCATAGCAGAGCGGGCTTATCTGTCAATCTCATGACTGGCAGAACTGGAGTTCGAATCCTAGTGTTGATACCATAATATTTCCTCCATTCCCTTTGTTGTTGATGCGGGGTAACAAAAGGGGGGTAATTTATCCATGAATCTTCCCTTCTATTTAGTGTGGACTGTAATATCGCTGGTAAGACGTAAAATTAGTTATTTTTCTAAATCTGGTAAATGCTAACATTGGAATACGACAAGAGAGAGAGCACCATTACAACCTTATGACAGCTTGTTTATTGCTACTCTGAGTGTTACAAAAAACTTACGGTAGATGGCGCTGGAGTAAATTTGCAACATACTCCCCGTGTTGAAATATAGTACTGTATTTCAAATATATCAGCAATAAAATAATATCAAATATAAGTAATATGCAAAAACAAACAATTGGGAAATGACATCACTTTTTTTAAAAAAAATAAAAAGTAAAAATAGATATACATATATAAAATTGACACACAAGGAAATGACTTAATCAAACTTCAACTGGTACTGGTAAAATGGCTAGCTTAGTGATAGGACGTTTGAAAATACCACGTTTGGTTTTCACACTGCAAACTCTAACACATTTGTCTTTTCCTGGAAACAATTCGACAACAACTTGGGCAAATTATCGTCTTTTACTATAACTACAGTGCCAATAGAAATGTTATCCTTTTCAAAGAGCCATTTTGATCGTTGTTGTAAATGGCACAAATAATTATTCGACCATTTTTTCCAAATTGCTTGGGTAATTTTTGTAGTCAATTGCCACCTACTTAACCTATTATCTTAAAGATCAACTAATTCTGGTTCCGGAATGCTTTTTATAGATCTTCCTATTAAAAAATGAGCTGGTGTTAAAACATCCAGATCATCAGGATCACTGGAAAGTGGCATTAAAGGCCTTGATTTAAAATACCTTCGATTTGATTAATAATAGTAAGAAATTCTTCGTATGTTAAAGTTAAAGTACCTATTGTTCGTTTTAAGTGAAATTTAAATGATTTTATACCACTTTCCCATATTCCACCAAAATTTGGACTTCCAGGGGGAATAAACTTTCAATTAATTCTCTCAGAAGCAAGAAATTTTGATAGAGTTTCATCTGGTTTACTAACTAGATTATACAAACGTTTAAGTTCTCTATTTGCTCCTAAGTAGGTTTTGGCATTGTCACTATATAATATGGAACATTTGCCTCTACGGGCAATGAATCTTTTTAGGGTTGCAATAAAAGAGTCAGATGTTAGATTAGAAACAATTTCAATGTGAAGCTTTGGTTACAAGACATACAAAAATAGCAATAAATATTTCTTGAAACGGACCTTTACGTTGATTTTTGTTTTTTATGAAAAAAGGTCCAGCGAAATCAGTACCAGAATTTAAGAAAGGAAAAGTTGGTTTACATCGAACACTAGGCAAATCTCCCATTTTTTGAACTAAAAATCTACGTTTAAAATTAGTGCAAATGACACAATCATGAACTATTTTTCGTGCCAAATTCCTACCATGTATTATCCAAACAGTTAGTCTTGACAAATTTAATAGTGCCTGTGCACCTATGTGACAATTTGATTTATGTAAATTTAATAAAATAAGCTCAGAAATTTTATGATTTTTAGGCAAAACTATGGGATGTTTGCTTTCATAGGGCAAATCAGAATTTGTTAGACGCCCTCCAACTCTTATAACATTTGCTGAATTATCAAAAAATGGAAACAAAAATTTCAGTTTGCTA